CTTCTCTCAGTTGACCCGAAGTCCTAATCGGGCTAGGTGGTTGAAGACCATGTCCTTCTGTGCAACTCTCAACTCTCAACTCTCACGAGTGAACTAGAAAAAAAACAGTAATTGAGATGGAGTCTCTGGACTTCTGTGGACTAAAAACAGTCATTGAGTTGAGAATGCGAATGCCCACTTTTCTAAGAGGGGCAAGGGCAGTCTTCGCAACTTTCGTGAAGACACGAGGAGACAGGGACATCCCAAAGGGAAGAACTTTGTACAAATAGGCAGACCGAAGAAACGGCCTGAGTCTTGGAAGGATCGAAACATGAAAGAATGCATCCTTCAGGTCTATTGCCGTGAACCAATCTCAGTACCTGACACATGTTAACATGTGTTTGAGGGTTAGCATTCTGAACAAGAGCTTGTGAAAGGCCCGGTTCAGCTCCGTTAGGTCCAAGATTGGTCTGAGCCCCCCAACCTTCTTGGGTACAATGAAGTAGGGGCTGTAAAACCCCTTCTTCATCTTGGCCGGGGGGACAAGCTCTATTGCGCCCTTCGCCAGAGAACAGTAGCATTCTTGTCTCGCACAGAGGTAAACAGAATGCCAATGAACTTCAGCAGACTCCTGGCAAACCGAATCACATAGCAGAGCCTAACGGTCCTGAGGAGCCATCAGAAAGGGCTGGGGAGCTTCAACCAAGCGTCCAGACACCTTGCTAACAATCTCCGTGGAACTATGTTCAACGTACCTGGGGCAGGGTTCCTGCGGCTTTGAGAAACAGAAGTCACAGTGACAGAGGACATACGTCCTTTGGGGTGCGCAGTGTCTTGTCCGTCAGATCTGTTAATGAAGTCACTGATGGATGCGGGAACTGGAGTTCTGGAGTCATACTAACTCGATGACTCACCTGTTGCATCAGAACATGAGGAGGCAGAGAATGTGTGTCCAATCACATTGTCAATTCCTGGCCGTCGCACATGGGAGGGCCAGAAACACCGGGTGCTTTTTTTTCTGAGTGTGACCCAGGGAAAGCAGAAATAGCACTTTCAATGACCATTCGGTGACTGCTCTACCATGTGGCAGACATCCAGAGCCACATAGGATCCACCTCTCGTCCCCCCGGAGGAAGTGGAGCTAGGCTGGTCAGCTGGTGCCTCCTCCCTGGGTCGCCTGTCTCAGGTTTGCTTTGAAGCCTTTTGTGGGTTCTTAGCATCCTGATGACAGGTAAGAAGGACATAAACCATCCACAAAAGCTGCTTCAGCATGGGCGTGGCCCAAACACTGAGCACAGCAATTGTGTCTGTCAGAGGGTGAGATGTACAAACCGCAAACAGAAAGACACCAATGGAAAGGCATGTTGTAAACACACAAATCTATCTGTGAAGCTCTTTTAGAGAAATTGCTCTTTACACTTATCTGTGTATGGGCAAGGGAAAAACTGCTGCTTGTGCCATAGATCCAACAATGAGGAGATTGAGAGGTGAATGCATCTCCCAAAGAGACGCTGCATCGGCTCCGAAGAACAGAACGAGTGAGCAAATGCTGCGCTGGCCTATTTATACCCGGATGTCCGGTGTGTGGCCTGCTCTCTAATTTCATTTGCCTTTTCTCAATGATGTCAGTGGTGTCTGGGTTCCCAAGTGCAACCCCTAGTGTCGGAACTTTGACACAACGTCGAAGTGACCAACTGAAAGGGAACTTAACTATTAGTGAAGTAACTATACGTAAACTAGTTAAAGTAAACTATAACTAGAACAACTATATCATTGACAACTTCTACAAGCATATGCATTGAGATCAATTGAGATCACAATTCTCTCACACCATACTCATTTTTTTAACCAAAACATTTATTGCACTCAAAAAAAAAAAAAAGTGCTGTCTACACAGGACTTTCAGTTATAATATTGCTGGACTTAAAAGTAACAAAAAATAGTCTCTTTTCCTTATTTTAGACCCCTTAAAGTGAATAACTTTAAAGCTGTAAGCTGTTGAACATAAATAATAGAATGTTAACAATAATAAATAAAAATAACTAATAAATAGCACCTGTGCTTTGTGTGGTCTGGCAGCTGGTATTTTTAGGTGTGGCTCCCTTGTCCTTCATGGCTAACTCGTACTGTATTTTGTGGTGACGTTTGAGGTAGGGATGCTCCGATCAGGATTATGATCGGCCGATATTGATCCCGATCCCAATCATTTAAGTTTTATAATAGTGATATGCAAGCTCTCTATTGACTGTCACTGTTAACCTTTTTTTACAGATAAAATATTACCAAAGATGTTGCCTTCATTGTATTATTTACAGAGATGTTGTATATTGTTGTTTTAATTGAGAAATAAGCACAACAAATATTAATCTTACAATTAACATTTTAATAGGCCTTTACACAAGAGGAGTTTACACAAAACACTAACCATATTATCCATATATTTTGGCTTATTAAGGAGCATACAAAACTTGATGTTAAACTGAACAAAATTGTTCAGTTTAGGCTTCAGGCTGTCAGTCAGTGCAGTTACATTGTTACACCAATAGGTTGCTGCAAGGGACTGTCTTTATGAATGAGTCATTATTAAACCGTTCATTCAAAAAATAGACTTAAAACGCGGATTCTTTCATGTATTAAACAAGGTGTTGAAATTAATTTAACTTTGAACGCCACTTGGTCAATCGACCAGCAACACATCACCTTAGTAACGCTGAAGCTAATATTTCACTTCATAGAGATCTATGGCATTGATTCAATGCATTGAACAATGCTGACGTGGGAAATACCCTTAAACTTTGAAAGGATACTACGAAAAATATATCGCTTTAATCTTTTGACAATTAATATTTTTGATAGAAACTGATATTTTTAATCTGTTGTAAGTGTTTTGTTTTACACTGTGTGATTGTGACGAATAAGTTTGACTAATATGGCATCTTGGATTGTAGTAAAGTGAACACGTGAACGCAGCGTGATATGAATGCAGGGAAATACATGCAAGTGAATCGCGGTCATTTAGAAATGAGATCGCATTTATGTATGAATCGAGATTGTGATTTTTTTTTTCAATTAATTGTGCAGCCCTAGTATATACGAATACGAAAATCCACACTATTAAGGATTTTTTTGTTTTAAAGGTCCCATATTGTCAAAACTGACATTTCCTAGCTTTTTTCATGATAACTTAGGTCTAGGTGCTATGTAACTACCATATAAGTTTCAAAACAGTCAATCCACAGTCAAATGCACACAGCCTGCATAAAGTAGCTGTGATTTTTCACAAACCGTTGTGACTTCCGTAAAAAGGTGACGTCAGAACTACTCAGTCACCGCCTTCAGTCACCACCCCGAGCACTACCCACAGTCCCACTCTCCTTTTGCCAAACCCCCAGACAACATCGCGTCCATGCCATTGCTGAGCAACAACAACACGGAAACATGTCGAGAAAACGCTGTTCAGTCTGGATGTCAGGAAACTACATCATTGCACAGTAGGGCTGTGACAGTCACCATGACAACCGCATCAACCGTTGTCTATTGCCACCGGCGGTAGTGCACATGACATCACACACTATAACAAGCATAATACAAAGTTTGTATACAAGTGTAATAATAGTAACAGTTGCAAATTGTTTTATTTAGACTATAAGTCTATGCTAATTCACAAATTACCTCAAACGCCATACAC